CCAGAACACTGGTCTGGGGCCCGAGAAGACCTCCTTCTTCCAGGCTTTAGGCATCACCACTAAAATCTCCAGAGGCACCATTGAAATCCTGAGTGATGTGCAGCTGATTAAGACCGGAGACAAAGTGGGAGCCAGCGAAGCCACACTGCTGAACATGCTGAACATCTCCCCCTTCTCCTTTGGGCTGATCATCCAGCAGGTGTTTGACAATGGCAGCATCTACAACCCTGAAGTGCTTGACATCACAGAGGAGACTTTGCATTCTCGCTTCCTGGAGGGTGTCCACAATGTTGCCAGCGTATGTCTGCAGATAGTTTACCCGACTGTTGGCATCAGTGCCCCATTCTATCATCAATGGATACAAGCGGGTCCTGGCTTTGTCTGTGGAGACTGATTACACCTTCTCACTTGCTGAAAAGGTCAAGGCCTTCTTGGCTGATCCATCTGCGTTTGTGGCCGCTGCCCCCACTTCTGCACCTGCTGCCACCACGGCCCCAGCCAAGGTTGAAGCAAAGGAGGAGTCGGAGGAGTCAGACGAGGATATGGGATTTGGTCTCTTCGACTAATCACCAAAAAGCAACCAATTCAGCCAAGTTTATTTGTGAAACAAGGAAATAAAGGCTTCTCAAAAAAAAAAAAAAAAGAGGTACACTATGATTTCATTTTGTAATTTACATTTTAAAAGCAGCAGAATATTTTTTCAAAGGCCTTATGACACAGAACCCCAATTTATAAAACATCTGAAACTAGAGAGGCTCTGGTTGAAACAGGCACAGAGGCCAGGCGTCCCAGGACAGCCTTGATCCACCTCCTCAGAACCCTAAGGCTCCAGATAGAATATACATCTGTCTGTATGCATATGCAGACCTGTAACAGGAGACTCACAGCCTCCCTCCAAAGTATCCTCCAGTCCTTACCTGTGCTTACTGATGGGTTTGCCTTGCTTCTCTTCTGCGGCCCTGGCTCCGGTTTGTCTCTGGTAGCTGCTTGTGACGCCACATGGAGGAGCTACACTTGGCCACCATGAAGACCCGATGTCCACACCAAGGTAGCATCTCAGGGTACATGCACAATTCCCTAACCTGGGTGTTAGGACAGTGCTTGATGTCCAGCACAGGTGAGCATGAGGGCCTTTTCTCTCATACTCTGACATGCCTTTCTCGGCAGCCTAAAGCACATTTGAACATTTCCATCTGCCTCTAGTCTTTGCCTTTTGAATAAACCCTATCTACTAGTCCAGATGGGAACAGATACCATACCCTTCCTTCTATCTATACCTTCTTTCACTGAACCTCACCCTGAAAAAAAAAAAAAAGACAAATAAATGATGTCAAACAGGTATGTTTGTAATGGTGTGGTTGTGTGTGTATGCATATGTATGAATATGTGTGTGGAAGAGACCTACACCAACAAAATCCTGCTACACATTGAACACAGCTTAAAAATCAATGGACTGTTTGGAAAGAACAATGGCTTTGTCACGATACTTATCTCTCTGTATCTTCCCTCCCCCCTATTATTAAGTTACAGGAGAGTGTTGGTAAGTACTTGACATTGGTAGGTGCTTAGCAAATAATTGAGAAAATGGGTCTGCTCTATTTACCTAGATAATTAAAATGGGTGTACTTAGTATATGCCCTTTGTCTTTTTCATTCAAAACTGACCTCTCCTGGGGCGCCTGGGTGGCTCAGTCTGCCTTAGGCTCAGGTCATGATCCCAGGCTCCTGGGATCAAGCCCCGCATCGGGCTCCCTGCTCCACAGGAAGCCTGCTTCTCCCTCTCCCACTCCTCCTGCTTGTGTTTCCCCCTTTCGCTGTGTCTCTGTCTGTCAAATAAATAAATGAAATCTTTTTTTATTAATTTTTGTAAAGATTTATTTATTTATTTGAAAGAGAGAGAGTGAGAGAGAGTATGAGAGGGGAGAGGGTCAAAGGGAGAAGCAGCCTCCCCACTGAGCGGGGAGCCCGATGTGGGACTCGATCCCGGCACTCCGGGATCATGACCAGAGCCGAAGGCAGTCGCTTAACCAACTGAGCCCCCCAGGCACCCATAAATAAATGAACTCTTAAAAAAAAAAAAAAAAAAACTGACCTCTGCTGTATGGGTGTACATACATATTACAGAAGAGATATGTACTTAGACACAGACAAGATGTCGAATATGTGAAATCATTTAATGAGTATGGGGAACTGTATCTTCTCTTTATTATGGAGAACTTTGTGTGTACAAGATCTCATTGCCAGATGACTTGAATTGCATAAATATTTTCAAGATACTCCCAACTAACAATCTGTGAACAAGGGTGAACCTATAGAAATATTGTGCAAAAGCATTTGTGCCTTTTGCCTCCGAACACATTTTTGGAACAAGCATGGTAGTTGGAGCAACAAACAACAACAAGCATTTCTCAGCAAAACAAGCTTTTGGAATGAAAATAAGCATCAGGGCTATCAGCCAGGCAAAATCATGCAGATGTTGACCATTTTCATTTTTGTAAAATAGTATTTTGTCTGTTGTTGGTGGCCTTTTTGTAGCATATGGTACTCTTCGTCCCACTTTATATCAGACACAGAAAGTTCCTCAAAGAGATTTCCTGTCCCTCGCTAATCCATTCATCCTTTCTTCCTCTTAAACAAAGCCTTGCATGGAGTAACTATTTAGTAACAGAAGGCTTCAGGTTTTCAGATAACGGCTTAAATTTTCTATTTCATTGTTTGCAAAGCTTTATATTGGAACAATGTTTTAGAGAGGGATAGTACAATGTTATCATCTATGATAAAAGTTTTGTATGTTTTGTATATTTCTCATTTAAAATCTATCACTGGTTATGAGACCATTTTATCCAGGTTGTTCGTACATTCATTCCTTCATTCATTTATTCAACAAATATTTCATGAGCACCAGTGACTGATAACTCTGGAGAAGATCTGTGACTAAGGAAAAGATGATCCTTGCCGTGACAGGGCTTCAGAGTGGTCAGAATCCTAAAAGTGTTTGCAAAAACCACACAGAAAACCTAGAATCTCTGCCAATCGTTTTTGGATTCAGTATGAAAAAGTCAAAAGACACTGGAATGATACCCTTCCTGTTCCCATATGCTGATGGTCTTACACTTAAATCAATTTTATTATTCTGACTTATTAACTGGGACTTTGCTCAGATATATGAAACAATTTGTCTGGTAAACCTGATGATTGAGCTCAGCCATTTATGTTATATATATTCATACATTATATTTAAGATGAATTACTCTTTAAAATTTCCATGTTGCATGTAAATACTTTCCAATAATAATGTCATTTTTGAGTGTTATCTTAGAAGGTCTATCCTTTTTTATTGCTCAGCTTTATAAGGAGGGGTTATCACTGCAAACATGACAAAGAAAGCAGTTTGAACAAAGTTCTTAATTCACCACTGTTTGTTTGCTTTTAATTCAGTATGAAACTGTTAACCTTTACAAAAAGACAACTAGGAAAACGGCTAAATATTTATTTTCATAATCTCCAGTTTCACATATTTGTAAGTTCAGAACTGAAATCCTATATCTCCTCTGACGCCCTAGCAGAGTTAATGGTACAAACTCCTTTTTTGAACTTTTTCCCTGACTTAGTCTCTTAATTTTTTATGGCTCTAAAAAATAAAACATGAAAAGGCAAAGCCAGATATATTTTATCTTTCATGTATGACAGATGTTCCCTCACCCATGTTTCATGGGTATAATCCGGCTTTTGAAAACCTGGAGATGGATGTTGCTGCCAGCAAAGCTTCAAGGAAAAAGGAGTAGCTATCTTGATGAGCAAATCCTTTGTAATGAGTCTTAGGGCCCTGTACTCTTCAGTCTTCTGGAGGAGATCCTACATTGAGTGGTAAAAAAATTAGCATGAGCCTGAAATGTAAAAAATGGCTCTAAGTGTACCAATGGTGGTAGCGGCCATTTGGATAGAACGTTTTCCATTGGTGCCATTTTAAATTTACTCTACCAGTTGCTTTTTCGTTTTGTTTTGTTTTTATTTTATTTATTTATTTATTTTATTTATTTTTTTTTTTTAAAGATTTTATTTATTTATTCATGAGACTCAGAGGGGGAGAGAGAGAGAGAGAGAAGCAGAGGGAGAAGCAGGCTCCCAAGGAGCAGGGAGCCTGATGCGGGACTCGATCCCAGGACCCTGGGATCATGACCTGAGCCGAAGGCAGACGCTTAACCATCTGAGCCACCCAGGCGCCCCTTGTTTTGTTTTTAAATATTAGATGCACAGAGGTGAAGGCCAAGCAGTGTGATTTGTAAGATGGTCATGGAAACATAGGTGTTCATATGGATATTTTAATGGACAAATAAGGAAAAATAAGTTGATTAGCTATAGACATAAAACAAGCCAGAGGCTCTAGCTACCAAACTGGTACAAGATATAAGTCTGCTTTAATCATCACAGGACAGAGACATTCTCTCTCGGTTCAGGCTGATCCTATCTCCTTATAATGCTGGCAGACAGAGCAGCTTTGCCTTTCAGATTTTCACCCAGTTATTTTTAGTTCTTCTGAAGCCTGGGAAATAAGAAATATAACCTCCTTGAAAAATCCAAGCGAGCCAACCATAGCAGGGCCTCTGAATCTGATTAGATAAAACAACAAAGAGGTTCTGTCAGGCCAGAGGCAGGAAGAGCCAAGGTGGGTGGCAATCTCTGCTCAACTCAGGGGAAATGTAGCCTCAAAGAATTCAAAAGTGGGTGAAAAAAATAACATAAGCACTAGACAACTTTCCCACATCTCAGGTCACTCTCTAAATACAGCTAGAAAAATTTTCCCTGCACTAAACTTTTTTTTTAATTTTTGAAGTATAATAAACAGTATGTGAATGTATGTTTATCCTAAGCACCACACTGAGAGAGAGGTTCGCTCTCTGCTAGTGTTTGTGCTCAATGTGAACCATTTTTCAACCCTCTTATTAGCTTGGAAGGTAAATCAGGCAAATTTAAGTTATAAAAGTAACTATTTGTTTCTAATTTTCTAATTTGATATTGGAGGGATTTAATGCAGTCCTTTCCCTCCATTATTAAAATGGAAGTGGATCACGGGAGTGTATATGCTGGATTGAAATTCTCCCCTTAGGTGGAGTTGAGAAAGAAAGTCTGTTCAAGTTCTACTCCTGGATTCCTGGGTCTGCCAGATTTTAGCCTGGTGAACAGGAGGCAGAGTCTAAGCAGGGAGGTGGGGGTGGTCGATGTGCTGACAGTTGTCATCAGTAGCTTTGACAGGGCTACTGAATAAGCAACGTTATGCATGCCTGTCCCCAGCATCACCACTTTGTAAAAGAAAACAAATAAAAGGGGGCTGGGTACTGAAATACAAGAGAGTGGACATCTGGCATCTTTCAGTCTTGGGAAGTCACTGAAGTGCTCTGTTCTTCAATCTCACTGTTCAAGATGGAGGAATTGCCTTCCATGCCACATTCATTTGATAACTGGAAAATCAGTTAACCTGGCTCCAGGTTCTTGCCCATTTCCCCCTATATTGCTGATGTCCATGTTAAAACTGGAGAAGCTAAAAAAAAAAAAAAAAGGTCGGATTAATAATGAGGCATTTAATTTGTTTCTTAGCTATGAGTAAAGTCAACCCTGCTATACTTC